TCAGTTTTGCAATTAATTGTGGCTGTTTCTTTGTTCAGCTATGTTGTGCCAAATATCTATAGGAAATGTGGGCTTGTTATGGTGAAGTGTTTCCTGTTCGTAATTAGATGTGTGGGTGTTGGCTACAAGGTCAGCAGATTCAGAAACATTATGTTTCATGTTATCCTCTGCATATGACATAATTTTGAGAATTTCAAACTTGATTCCATAATGCTACTGTTTCAGGGAAATATGAAATATATTGACCTTGGGCAATATGATATGATATTGTCCCTTGGAATAAAACCCATATTCAATCCCTCTTAGTAAATAACCTATATATATATTGACATATTTATTTTAATCTATACAATGTTCTGAGGACCCAGACATTGAATTTGATCAGTAAATTACCACACTAAAAATTATTTTAATATTTTTATATTTTTACGAAAAAACCTACATTAGAAGATCAATCACTGTTACATCATAGAGGAGAAGTGAAAACATGAAGGCCATTATGAGAATTACATTGTATGAAATATGGTTGCTTGCATGGTATGGAGCAATTTAGAGTGATTGTAATAAGATACACAATAAAAATCATGAGACATGAGCAGCATTTTAGGTCATGCTCCACCCACGATTTTCGAAAAGTACTTGATTATTCATTCAAGTCTCAACCAGAGATTTTGGAGAGCTTTATGCATATATCCTGTATGTAAATAATATTGCTGTGTTACATGACTTGTATATCAATTGTGTTGACAATTTATTCAAGGATCCTTTCGTATTGATTGTCCAGTACTTTACATGTTTTCATATTGAATTCCTATTTTGTGATTTTCTTGAAATAATAATATGAAGCAAACCATTCATTGTTTGTATTGGCGTTTGGAGAAGATGACATTATTTTACATTACTATTATCGTTGTATAATGATCATGGAGTATTCTTCAGGATCGTACTAAGTCTGGTTCATTGCTGTTATTTACTTGTCAACTAAATGAAGAGCTTCTGATACATTTAATTTTGTTTCCATTCAGTGACCAGGCATTAAACAGTTTCCTGTCATTGATCTTAGTCATCAGTACAAAAAGGTGGAAAGAAATGTTTCCGCCAATAAATCAATTGAATTTGTGCAAGATACGGCGATTGTAAAATTGAAGAATTTTCCATTTACACACAAATTGAAAATCTCCATGTAAAAAAACACATTAAGAAAGATTATTTTTTTCTGAGGGGAGATCTCATGGGAGGTTTCATTAACATTTTGAGGATACATTGTGTAGGAGATATTAGTTTATTTTGACAGATGTGCCTTAATGGTGCGGGAGAATTTTGTATTACTACATTGAATATTGAGAGTGAATTTATTATAAGAAGATACATTTAGATTAATGTCAGGAGGATTACTTAAAATATTTTCCTAATTGTTAAGTTAATGGAATAAAAGGTTCTTTTTAGCAAAAGTATACAAAAAAGATGTACACAATTGCAATAAGTCTTGCATCAATGTTACCCTTTTTTTATTTTTTTTTGCCCTTTGAAATTTTGCCTTAGATTGATGTAATCATGCAAGATGAAATTATGACATTCAACCAAAATTTTCCATGTACATATATATTTTTATTTCAATTATTTATTTGACAGATGCCTGAAAATCGGCAGCAGACTACAATAAGTACCATATGTCATATATCATTGCAGATTCCTTCACTATGGGATTTGATTTAAGGCATTATATGCAGTCTACGTTTGCAGTCTTAGTCTTAAACTGCAGTGTAATATATCTCATTGCCACTTCATCTATCATAATCTTAGTTTTCATTTGTCAAGTTATCATTTTTAGGCACGACTGAGTTTATGGTCATCTATCTCATTATTTCTTCTGTTGATATAGGTTTAAGAACAAGGAATAACGCTTTATATCATTCATTTATTTGTAACAATTTGATAATTTTTTCTGTTGTAAATTCTAAATACCATAAGTAAGTTATTGTTCTAACTCACAAATGGGAAAGCAAGAGTTTGCTTGTATATTCAGCTTTAAAAGCATATATAGACTGTAGTACACCCTAAAAGCTCACAATTGGATACATTTTCAACTAAATCCTATGGCCAATATGGTGGGAACTGTTTATTCATGATCTAATACATATTTCTTATTTATTTAAACTAAGAGCTAGTTAAAGTACAGAATACAGAAATTGAGAAAATTGCGCGCAGGGATGTTCAGGCTAGGCGATTGGGCGCCGTAACCACGAGGTTGGGAGTTTGAGACGCGTGTGCTCCTTGTGTTTATTCATTTGTGCAAATACCAAAAATCCAGTTATTTTGGCTGTTCCATTAGTCTGCCCCTATTTATACCCCATGATCCTCTTTAAAGCTGAATATGTTTGCACCTCTAGAAACACTGTTAAAGTGATTCAAGCTTCCTTAGGGAGTTTAGTTACTTCCAATTGTGTGAGTATGAAAAAACACATATGAGTGCAATTTGGACATTTATTTGATTGATCCGCCTTCTTTATTACTTGTAGAGCCTGTTCGTAAGCAGTAAATCCTTGGATTAATCCAAATATGGCATGATAAAATATAAGCTGACAAAATTGTGCCAGGCTTCATTATGAGACATATCAAACAATACAAATTAGGTGCTGCTTCTTTATTAGTAAACTGTGAAATATTGGCTCCTTTATGAGTTGGGTCCTCTGTAGAATAGGGTCATTTCTATGAAATAGAGGTCTTCTCAGTAATATATAATAAGCCATCCCTGTGAAATATGGGTCCTCTTTATGAAATATGGGTTGCTCTTTTATATATCAGTCATGTAATATTGGCTTTTCTATCAGTTATGGGTCCCCTCTTTGAAATATGGGCCCTCTCTGTTATAAATAGCTCATCTTTTTGAAATATGGGTTCTCTCTATGAAATATGGGTTGCCTCTTATATATTGGTCATCTCTGTGAACTATTGACTTTTCTATGAGATATGGGTCTACTCAATAGAATAGAGGTCATTCCTATGAAATATGGGCCTTCTCTGTTATACATGGGTCATCACTATGAAATATGGGTTGTCTCTTTTATATATCAGTCTTCTCTGTGAAATAATGGGTCCTTTCTATGAAATATGGGTTGTCTTTTTATTTATATATTGATCATTTATGAATTGTGGTTCTTTCCTATGAATGGACATCTCTATAAAATATGAAAAATAGAAAACAGAAAGACGAATAGAATACAGAAAACAGAACGATTATTAAAAAACAGTAAGTTTAATATTAGAATGGCAAAATACCATCAGTGGAATTGAATTGTGAGTAATTTTGAAAAAGAATAATTCTCATAACAACCCATAAATTCTGTTGCTATTGTAAGGTTGCTCTATAAGAGGAAATTGACAAGATTTTAAGGAGGAAAGATTGGTTGATGACCCATTCAGAACTCTAAAGTCAATAACTCAGTTCTTTGGCAATTGCCTATATAGCTTTAAGAGTTCTATTCTCAGATTATAAAAGTATACTGAAGTAAAAGAAAATTATATTTGTTAATTCACAAATACAAATATTGAGGCAGCTTGACATCTAAGAGGTCTAATAATGTTTGATGTTTCAAGATCCTTCTGTTCATATTCATTTGTATTATGAATCAATGCAATGCTCTTATCCAAAATGGTTACTATGGTAGCTGGATTTGAAAAATACCGAAGCATGATGTTAGATGTTCAAAGCCGATAGGATATGACAGGAAAATGAGCTTGTATTGAGATAATGTGTCAAGTTTTCAGGTTCTTTAGACAATATCATAGCCTGTGTTTGATGCTATAGCGCTGCATGGTTAAACATGCCAGATCTGATCTGTATGATGAACTGCTTTAAACAATGCTTCGTGGGACCTTATGTCACTCTGACAATTGTATTAAGATTCTTGAAAAAATCAAAATAGCTCCATATTTTGGTTTGGTTCATCAAATTTATTTTTCGTTATTATGTCCTCGATGGTTTTTGGGAGCATATGAGATAGGTTATGTGTCAGTCCATCAATCCATCAAATAAAACCTGCAATTTGTATTTAGCCATATGCATATCATTTTAAATCTATCAATAATCTCTATTTGACCTGTCTTTATCATTTCAAAAGTTTTCTTAGTTTTCGAGTAAGTAACTTTGACATAAAAAATTTAAATTGTGTTATTATATGAGAGTTTGTGAGTACATGTGCCATGTGTCCTTTATTTCATGTTTCTTAAGGCATTCAATTTTTGATAGACTAAATAAATCACAATTTTTAATAAACTAGTGATTCACATCAAAAAATACATTTTCGAATACATTAAAGAGGCAATGTCAGCATTTGTCATATTAGTCTCAGAATTATTCATTAAGAGTAAATGATCTTAACCTACATATCCATAAATTGTTAATTCATACTAAAGAAATTTTAGAACAGTAAGAATAATATGGGAATATAATATGGGAAAGACAATTAAAACATGGGTGTATTAAACCCAAGGTTCGATTGATTTTGTATATTTCATTAAGTATGAAAGAAGATTAATTGAGAGGTCATCAATATTCAATTAATCCGTCCTGATCTATGATGTAAAGTAAGTGAAAGATTTGATGCATCACCAAGAGATCCATTTACTGTATCACATTGGAGAATAATAAATATACATGTTGACAAAACATGAATTATTAATCTAGTTTGGTTCAAATCAGCTAATGGCTGACTGTATTGAATAACACATATAAACAGAAAATAAAAGGGATGAAAAATATATACTTTCCAGGAAATCTTTGAAACATTTAATCGCATGCTGGTGCAGGCTGGTGCTAAACACTGAACTTACCCCCCTTTCCATTTTTTTCGTTACTACTTGATCTTTATATTGTTCTTATATCAAATTGATCTAAATATCCATAATAATATGCTATAACAGAAACAGTTATAAACATTAGTATCAGTGTAACTTGTTCAATCATTCAATGATCTAAAACGTTTGTTTTGTACTTTCAGTCTAGAAGCCCAAAGGAACTGAGTTTCTCAATGGAGGCCAGTGCTGCACAGAGACAATTGATTGCCCAACTTGAAGCTAAAAATAAGTAAGTGTTTTAAGCCAGTTTTCCTATGAGATTTCTTGCATGTATGATGGATGACTATCTTAAAAAGGATTTCCTATGATAAAAAAGCATAACTAACTCAAATCATTGAATATCGTACACACAAATTAAAAATGGAGTCTAAGTAAAAGACATGCAATGACAGATAGGCCATCAATATATTTAGGATTCAACATTTTTCTTTGTTAAACATGATTTTCACAAATAATGGTATTAAAGTACTTTCACAGATCCATCATATGTTATCAAAATCTCTTCTGAGTTATCCCACTGTGGATCTATATACATCTTTATTATGTAATGTGATTTGATCAGCCAAATGATCCGCTCAAATTTCTCTTTTTATCTGCTTTGCCACTGAATTGATATTTGAGTCTATTGATCCTAGCACTCAACACTCAAAGAACCTTGAGTAAATCTTCTTGATTTTGTTATCTCATTTTTCTTTATCTTAAATATTCATGAACTTAGAATTTTAGTAAGATTTATCATTACTTATAAACTGTCTTTACCTCCCATTATAAGGCCATTATGAGTGTTTATGGTATATTATATGTGTTTTGCACACAATGTTATTGATTATTATCCCACTGACACGCAACTCCAATCATGTTTTTAATTAAAGAACCATTCATTTTTATAAAAGTAATTACTATAGTACTATATCAACAGAACATTATGTCAGATTGCTGACAGGTAAACATCTCAGTGCATACCACAAATCAATGGAGACGAACAGGTTTTTGATTCTGTTTTTTTGGTTAGACATTCTGTATCTTCATTTCCTGTTTTTAATTTAAGTGAGACCCAAAATGCCAAATCAAATCATTTCACTGTTTTTGTCTTCTACAGAGAAATTCTGCTGGAAATTCAACGCTTACGCAAGGAGCAGGAAGCACAACGAAAAATAAGCCCGAGCCTCTCGTTGACGGAGCAGAACCCGACTCTATTGGCTGAGCTGCAGCTGTTACGAAAGAGGAAGGATGAGTTGGAAGGGAGGATGTCGTCTCTGCAAGAGAGTAGGCGAGAATTGATGGTGCAGTTAGAGGGCTTAATGAAGCTCCTCAAGGTAACCCAACCATCACAATTTACACCCTTTTAATAGCTTTTAAAGTTGCAGTAACACGATTTGCAATATTTATGACATCATCAATGTCAAATTGTTTGAGAGTAAATGTGAGAGACTCACTCCACAAGTGTTATATATCAACATAAAGAGTGTTATTAATCTCACTAAAAATAACAACGAGGATAATAAAGAATAATGTTTCTGGTTATTTGTAGAATCATGGTTCGCCACGATCTACACCCAATAGTAGCCCACGGTCGAGGGCAGCACATTCCCCACCCACAGCTATCACCCCCTCCAGGAGCAGTCTCCCCAGTAGCCCCCCTGGCGACTCTCTGATGGGGGTGGGAGGTGATGTCACACAAGCATTCAACCAACAGAGCACCAGTAATGCCCGTAATCTCAGGAATGACCTACTAGTAGCTGCAGACTCTGTCACTAATGCCATGTCCAGCCTTGTCAAAGAATTAAAATCAGGTACATGTACTTAAAACTAGAGGTGTCACGGAACAACAAAAAATAGAAACGGTTCGATTCGGAACATTTTGCTTTGGAATGGAAGAATTTCAGAGCAGTTCAGTTCAGAACATAGTGACTGCGTGTATAGATTAAAATCAGTTGATCGTCTAGGTTTATTTGGTAGCGAAAAGCTCTTGTTCTGGAACGGACCCGACATTCTGAATATTTATTCCGTTCCAAGAGCATAATTCCGTGGGTCAGAACACAATCGGGTATCCATGACACCTTTACTTACTAGACAATTTTAGAATATTTCAATATTTCTTGAGTGATTTCATATCTTGACATACCTTCTAAAATATTAAATACACTGTATATCCCTTCTTGTAGAAAATCTATTGCTTTTATAATTAACGTTAATTTGTGTTTTTCTTTTTGTGTATATTATTTTGAAGAATTAAGAAATATATTATGATTCTATCGCCAACTATTATTTTTGATGTGTCATACAATACTAATAGGTTCGCAATGGTAATGCCTTGAAAAATGTACACTTTTATTATGTCATATATCATATCTCTCAGTTTTTACCTCTGAATTAATTGTTAAAGATATACCAGGACCTCCATATGCAAGGTCAATGTAAATCATTCCCAGGCATCTTTATGACTCAGATATCATCAGTAGGGATTAGAACAAAGTAATGCTTTTATTCTATGGAATTAAGTCAATAAAGTTGAGGTTTATCCTGAAATGCTTCAATGAATAATTCTTACCCTTCATTGTCAGGCTAACCATTGGCTAACGAAGCAATATTTTCTGGATGAAATATTTTTTAGTAAATTTATTAGTCTATGTTTTCTATTTCTAGCATAATCTGTAATATAATCTCTATAATACATCAGCTTAGGTCTGCTTTGAGAGAAATATTGAGAAAAATGGCCGAAGAGCTAGAATCATTGACCCTACAGGCCCTTGAAGTATCTGTTAAGATATTTATTTGTTTCCCAGTTTGGCTTACATAATTTACATTTTGAGACACTTTGTAACATCAATAATAAATGTAACTAACAATATGCCATTTTTCAAATGTTTTAGCTTGTGATAAGACATACACCCACTAGGGTGTCATTATCACTGATATGTATATATGTTTATATGATTTTAATAAATAAATAAATAAAAAAAAGAACAGCTTCATTAGTTTTTCTCTCTGAGATCATATATAATTTTTATTAATATAATTGAGTGATCCTAGTCTTTATAAATCTACATGTATACTATTACACATTCTGATTTTTCCCAAAAATATTCAACTTTTAAATCATCATGGTGATGTTATTTCAGAGGAGGAAAACAGTAGTGGAGGAGAGGAGGACCAGGATGCTGTAGTAGAAGAGGATGAGATAGAGGCCAGGCTAAGTAATGGTGAGCCAATGATTCTTCAGTTAGACAATATAAGGGTTTCCTTGTTTCTAATGTCCTGGCTTTACATATACTGGGACATATACATATAATGTCCTTGCTTTGTGATACATACTGATATAAATGTTCAGAGAAGTGAAAGGCCGAGTTAAAAATCCTGCTCTCTAAGACTTTTCTTCTTCGTCCTGGCACTATACATATACACTTTTCAGTCATTTGGGTACACAGATGGAAATACAGACCTGTTAATTCGTAATATAGTAAATGATAGCCTTTTGATACAGCTTTAAATATCCTTAATGAAGTCGCAACTTATTTGTAGACAGTTGTATGTTTGTGGAAACATAAGACATCCAATAGGTGAACTGATACAGTATATCATAGATTTGCAAATGAGATATAATAAGTGAAATTCCAAGCTCTATATATCATCATCAACGTCTTACCTCTGAACTCTTCTAATGAATGTTGCCCATTACTGCCTGATCTATGATCTTCAAGGGTAATAGGAGAATATATGAATCTATCAAGGGGAATTACATGTACTGTGTTCCAGTCTTGAGAGATCATTGAGAATTCCACATTGAATTTGCGCCTATTGTTATCACAACATTGATTTTATCAAAATACCAAATTATGTTATTTTGGTAGATTGGAAAGCTATTTTTGCAGTTGTGTTAATGAGCGTATGATAATACTCACGACAGGCAATTTCCTGGTTATTTTAGGTCTTCTTCACTGATTGTTCATAAAACTTAGAGTCGCCCACACATATTAATAATTTTATTCATTAGAGTAGTACCTAGGTCATTAATATCCCATTTTTGTTCCCAAGAGAGAGACACACTCTTCCTCATTCATTAAGGTATCATTACATCCTGTCATTTATATCTTGATAGATCACTCGTTCTTCCGCAACTTCTTTAAGAAAATCACTTCTCCAGTTTTTGCCCAAACCTGTCCCTTATCTGCAAATGCATTCCCAAGTTTTGATGAAAAATCTCCTTTTCAGTTTCTCATTTCTTTCAAAAGAATGCCACATGTGATATTAACTTCAAGCATTGTTGATTTTAATTTTAATAGCATACATTAGTTTTTGTATTTATCCTACATTGATGTCATTTTGTCACTTGTTATTTTATCTCTCATGTTGAATGTTACATTATCATACATTGTTTTTTTTACTTTGGTGTTATTTTGACTTCTTTTGATTTTACTTTGTCATACATCGCTGTTACTATTATGTTTTACAGTTACGGAAGAGTCCAGTATGGTGAAAGACTGGCAGGCAGAAGTAGAGAGACGCCTGGGACAAGGAAAACAGTTCAATAATAATTCACAAAATAAAAATAGCCGAACCAATGGTAACAACACTGACCAAGAACAGTAAGTGCATGAAGTAAATTAATAACAAATAACTGTTATTAAGAATTCTTGAGATTTAAATAAAACCTTTTGCACATTTGAAAAGTAAACTTATTGTAAGATTATCTCTGCTGAAAACAAGGATCTTTTCGGGTCAATTGCTTTTTAGCCTCACATCAAAAATAACATTTTGAATCAATGCTTTATTATCAAAAGCATACAGTATTAAAAAGTACATGTATAAGTCTAGATATACGAATATAAACAGTTCGGATTTCTTGATGCCCTAATGAATATAATACACATGTTTTTTCAGTTATATAACAACAGATGGAGATGCAGATTCATATGCTAGGACTGATGATGAACTGCTAGCTACAGATATGGAATCTTCTTATATAAAAACAGATGATGAGACTAATATCCAGTCTGAGGAAATAGACCAAGAAATATTCAAACATGATGCAAAAGTTAGGGTAAGTGATATTGGTGAATGGGACAACTTTGTATGAAAAATAATTTATGGTGGATCAAAGGGATTAATTTTTGGGACCTAACTCACAAAACACGATTATTTTTCTACTCCACCTTTCTTAAAATTTCAAATTATATACATCATATTATGTGTTTTGACTAAAAGTATGAAACCATTGTAATTAATGAATCAGAATCGTGTAGTCATATTTTGGCATCGCATTGACAATTTTTGTCATCAGAAATTGACAATTGTTAAACTAACAGATATTTTCACAAGTTACTCCTACCCCACTTTCACTCATCCAGTTCTTAGGGAACTATCTCCCTAGCACTAGAGCAATCAGGTGATGCACTCGGCTGAAAACCTAACTTGCGACCTTGTTGAAAATATGTTGCACCCTGTTAACATGGTGATATATCAAAGTATTTGACCAAAACGGGTAAAATTATGATTTTGGGGAGAAAATCCTGGGGAGATCACTGATCATGTTTATAACTTTAATCTAATGATTTTGAAATTTTCTTTTCAGGAGATTTATTTACAACAACGTTTTACAACAGATGATGAAGGCTATTTAGTATCCGATGCAGAGTCATATATCAGGACTGATGATGAGGAGGGGGGTAACACGGACTGGGAAGATGGTTTGAAACGTTGGGTCAATAGATAGCATATTATGGGATGGAGAAATTATGGGATATATTATACAGTGTATAACTTGAGGCACAAATAATGAGATGTAGATATATTGTTTAGATAAAGATGCATGTAGGGTTGTGAAATGAAACAACAATCAATGGTAAATAGTGCCTCCATTATTGCAATGCAATACCTATATATTGCAATGCAATACCTGAAAGCTTAAATAATTCAATTTGTATACATTGCAATGCAAAATATTCATAGATAGCATTGTACTTAAAGCTCATATATGGCAGCAGGAGATTGGATTGAGTTACTTAATTGATTAACCAAAGTTATATTGATACAATATTGCTGTTGATTTTGGAAGATCAATGTATAAAGATTTTAGTTGTGAATTGCTAATTTATTATAATATGGTACAGGCAATTGTTGTCCAGAATGTATTTTCATCTGGATATTTTTTGATAGCTTAACTGGTTATTGGTGAAACTTAGTCAGTCTCACATATTTTGTTTTCATATCAGCGCCAGAATGTTGTTATAGTCTCAATATTTTGTGGATGGTGCTTGGCAGTCGGCATTCAGTGTACAGAAATGGCAGGTGGTGACATTCTGCATTCATGCCTTGTTCTGTTCTATCACTGAATACAGATGATTTGACTTGCACAAGATGCCTTGGGTTAATAAAACATGTTCATTTGCATATTATGAAGTACATGTAGATAAAATAAACAACGAAAAGACATGTAAACTTATATGTCTGAAACAATTATCTGACTGTAGTAGCTGCACTTCAATATATGTACATGTAGAGTTGGGGCAGAGTGCAATGCTCAGCATGAACATTGAGCAAAGACCAGATGTAGAAAATAAACTCATTCCTTTATTAAACCTTATCTGATTATAACAAGTTTTGGGTTTCTACATATAAGTTTTTGATTCACCATACAGAATCTAGATGCCCTGTTTTGAGATTTACAATACATTTAGATTATTGAGTTAGCACACAATGATTAGGTATGGGTTTGAATCAACAAGAATATGGAGAAAATTAACTACAATAATTGTGAACCACGAATCGGTGATGACTGGACCTTAATTAATAAGGGATTATTAATCAACAATGATGATTAGGACCTGATTTATTAAACTCTAATGACCTGATTCACTTCATTATGATGATTGATTGTAGAACTGCTTATTGTGTTTTTTTCTTTTTTCAAAAAGATTTTTCGATGAGGGATCTGTCCACTTATGCTAAAGCTTATGTAGGGCTTATGATGGGCTAAATCTAATCCTTATTAAAAAATCACTATCGTAAAAAACACATTATTTTGCAGGCTCAACAAAATATATTGTAATTTTAATTTCACTTTTATTTTATTCTTTCATCATATTTTGAATTAAAACATTCTGTGTTTTAATTAAAACTATCATTTTCATTGAATGATAACAGTGTTCAATGGTCATTGCTTTTTATACAGGTATTGTACTATGTTATACATGTAAAGTACTGAACTACATATCTTGTACATGTAAAATGATGATAAATTTGGATAAAGCATTGTATTTATTTAGAATAATCCCTCAATATGATATGGAACACAGTAAATAATTAAATCTACATGTTTGAAAACATGAACATTGGTACTGTCTTAAATGTATGGTATACATTAGAATATACAATTTATTTTGATAGCATTAATGAATAATTAAATAAATGTATCAAAACAAAATTGGTAACAACTGTTTGTTTATTATTTATTTTATACTAAAATGCCTCTTATCTTGTACATGTAGTATAAATACATCCCCCAATGAACAATCTGGTTTCAATACAAGGTTTTTGCTTAATGAAAGACCATGTAAATGTTCAACACTAAAACAAAAGAATAAATCATTGGATATGTAGATCGTTTGAAGGTATTGCCAGTGTAATCCTAACAGAGGGAGAACCTCATGGAGAGCATAAAATCAAGTATGTATTAGCATAGATTCTGCTAATTAATAAATTATTACATCTTTTACAGGAAACAAATGTTCAATGTCCATTTTATTTTTGTTTATTTTTAAATTTATTCTTTTTCTTTCGTTTTGATGGCAGAGTCACTGAATCTTGTTTCGTCTTCTTTGCCTCTTGTACTGTTGTCACAGCAGTCTTTGTGGAGGCAACTGAAACATAAAGTGAGAATTGAACGTATTAAACAAAAGCATGACATCTATAATATAATTCCCAACTGTAATCATGGATTTTACATGTGACCTTTCAATATTTGATTTGATTGGTTAATGCTTAATTGACCAGAATATCCCCCATTTTGACTAGGTGCACACAAACTTTTATGTTACTATATATTGACATTAAGGCACAAACAGCAACCTTCTATAACGAAGCATTATATGTTTACACAATCAAAACAAAGCTACATAGTTACTGTAACTGTTAAAGCACCTGGTTCAATTCAATGGCAATGTGAAAAAATACTATACCTTCTAAATAAGGAACAACTAATTTGCCAGATTTTGTTGGATATTTCCCTGAGAAATTCCTCTGTGATAGAGGTTGTTTCAGCATGTTGGATAACTCCAGTCTCATGTATGTCAACTCTTGTTTGCTGTGGGCCTGTTCTGAGCTACTTCCCATGTCATGTAACCTGACAGACTGTTAAGGTTTGAACTCAGACCATTCTTTCTCAGACCAAATTGTTAAGCTATAGGATTTGATCTGAGAGCAGCTTCTCAAAAACTCAATAAAACACTAGTTATGATTTTTATAATCAAATTTGAAAGCAGTTTTACAAAGACGAATCAGAGGACACAAACAATATTTACAAATTTTTTCTTAATATTGGTATCATTTGACCTCATGTCATTTGAACTCCTAATGTCAATTTTTTGCACTTCAAATCTTCAACTTAACTTCCCTATATCAATTGAATCCTTATTTAGGCGTTATATTTGGATTTGGATGTTGGCTTACACATTGGCAGGTTAATAGATTTTGCCACCCTTTTATATCTAGCTTCAATGGGTTAGTGGTATTAAAGGATACAGATTATCATCTACGTCAATCTCCATCTCTTCAGCTGCCTTAAGGAACCAGTCATTTTGTACATGTTTCTTCTTTGCCCTGGAACATCAGAATATGATTTATGATAATGAATATGAACCCTTGGAGAATTTCATACTGTTTCTTGGAATAACACATCCCAGTAACAACCTCTATACACTGACCTTGTATAGACATTCAAAATCACTAACACAATCTATTAATAATACACAATTATGTGGTCCTATATTAAATCCTACCATTGGTGCTACAAGTACATGTACCTGATAAGCTATATGGGACTTCAATATTGAGATAAATCAAGTTTTATGATACAAGTTTTAAATACCATTGACAATTGGCTCTTAAAAGTTGCTGTATTCAAGTAAGTCCTGCTAAGTTTAAACATATCAAACTTTTAATCTTGTCTTCATAGTTATATCTTGGTATCACAAATGCAGGTTGATCACTTAGTTTTCACACTTCAATTCAGTCAATATGGTACAACGAAAATGGGACTTCTGCGCATGTTAAAATTTTTCGTCAAAACTCAACTTTTGTTCTTTCGATTGTCTTTCGAACTAGAGACTTACCTCAATCGAAAGATCATAAGAGACTTTATCTATACTGAAAATCTTAGATCCGAACATAGTAGAATACGCCGACAGTCCGCATTTGATTTTTTGAAGTGAGTATCGTAGATCGTCAGATTTCTCCGACTGATATCGGGTTATCTCAAATTGGTTCGTTTATAAATACGAATTTCTTTACCCTTGTAAGGCGCATGCGCAAAATTGATTTATAAACGCTATTGGTTGATGCTTTTTCTCCTGAGCATGCGTGAAGTCTGATGAACACTTATGACGAAGACCGGAGCAAACATTACTAGCTCTCGAACGAAATTCCAAGATTCAGATCATTTCGCCGTGTTTGCTAAGCGTGTATACGTGAATGACAAGCTGTTTTGAGTAGATCAGGTACCTGTTTTAGACACAACATTGATTTAGCTTGACATTGATGTGCACATTGCCACTTTTGAGCATGTTAATACAAGTTTTAATACTCTTAGCAGGAGACAGGTTTTCGAAAAATCTGTTATCTGATTCACTCGATTATCGTATGGATATGTATTTCTGCTGACATTTTAACACCACATCACATAGAATTTCGATACAGAATGAAAAAAACACACAAAACAACTAATAAATTCCACTTGTTATTTCACAGGAGGTAAAAATGCACACTGCCTAGATTCTTTGTAAGGGTCGTCAGACATCGGATTGGCCGCCATATTTGAAATGAAAATATCACTAAATAGAGCTCTGCGCATGTCTCAACATTTCGACTGAATTGATTAATGTGATCAAACAAGGCATTAACATGCAAAATACCACCACCTTCCATTTGTAACAAACACCAACCACTGAACACCAACTGCCAAACACTCACCACCAACCCCAAACACTATTCACAAACAAGGCATTAACATGACAAAAAAACAAAGACCATAACACTTTTTGGTGGTGACATAATTAGCTAATCAAATCATTTATATCCTACTGACCCATGTTCCTGCTTGTCAATGCGGCGTGCAAGTTGAACTCGTGCTTTCATTGTATTCATGTAGGCAATTTCAATTGGAAACATGGGCAGGTCTTCATCTGCAAGCAAAACATATAGCCTGGGGTTATCATCTTGTGCACTACCATCTTACTAAGATCAACAATTTTACAGTTGATTTGATTTCATTTGATTATTCTTGGTAGCTCAGTACAGGACGGTCTTCCTAGAGGCCCAGTCCCACATGTCACCAATCAGAAAGCAATGTAGATAAAACTTTATACAGAAAATGTAACTCAAGAATCAAAGAAAAACTGAATATGACAATGGGCATTAGTGTCTTTTGAGGTGTAGATTCAAAGTTTACAGGTGTTCAATGCACATGAGACATGCATATTCAAACACCTCTCTAATCTGAACAGATCTAAATGTAAATGCTTCTTGGGTCTGGTACTTTAATCTGCCATAGAAGTCCATGTTGAAAAAACTCCAAATATGAACACCTGTCCTTCCGAACACTTTTGGCTGCTCCCAATGGTGTTTAGATTAGACAGGTATCATTTTGTACAATGCCTCAATAATTGATTGTGTTGCAGATTATATTAAAGTGGCAATGTACCTTTGTTGAGTGTATTGATTATCTTCCTGTAGTATCTGTTGTCCTCTGGTCCTATTAACATAACACTAAGTCCCTCTTTATTAGCCCTGGCTGTGCGTCCACTGCGATGGACATAATTCTACAAAACAAATCTCACACATTATAACATTATATAACAGTACAATATACTCACTAATGGATCTGCTAAATCTATTAAGTCATTCAACCATTGAAATCAGTTGGGAGTTTTATAGGGAGATTCATCCGAGTAAATTGCGTAAAAAACACGTAACAATAAAATGTACAGTAAATTGTTCATAAAAGGTAACTGTCTTATGAATTAAGAACCAACAATGATTCCAATTTATACAATATACTTTTTCATAATCAAAATGTCAGAAACATTGGTCTTTGAAATATATGTTTGAATGTAGCCTAAATTTTTAATTTTGACTCAGATAGAGACCATGATGTAGCAGAGATATACTCTTGTAGTGCAGTGTAATTTACCTCTGAGGTCCTTGGTACTTGATAGTGAATAACATGTTCTACATTAGGTATGTCTAGTCCCCTAGCTGCTACATCTGTTGCCAATAGCAACCCTTTTGCATTACCTAAAGAAACAAGCAGAGGTTTGTATGAAAATTGTTGTGTAACTGAACCTCATTAACCTAATATTGAAGTGACTGTAATGTTTGTTTATATCAAGCTAGTTTATTCATTACATTACATTAAGAACTTTACAGTCATGTGGTATCCCAGAATGCCACACTACAGGAAGTGCCGACCTGTCATGTTTTACTGAGTGACCAATCTTTTCAGTAACATTATCTCACACTCAATTTAGAACATGGCTTTTTACTCTACCCCCAACCTACCCTAAGTAGTTTGACAAAAACAATACAACAATTAAATACTCGTACATTGATATTACACCGTCCAAGCACAAGATTTCCAAAAGTTGACAGTGCTCTAGAGACAGGTGATACATACTTGTAAATCTATCCAGATTTTTTAGTCGCTGTCGTTGCTGCATATCTGCATGTAAGGGCAGTGGGTTACACTTCAGTAGGGTGAGAATAGACGTGAGACGTCTGACACAATCCTTACTGTTGGCAAACACCAGCGTTCTACCCGGGTAATGTGCCAGAATGTAATACAGATATACATCCTACAATCCACAAACAGCAATTTTTGAAACTTTTTGAAATTTTATAATCCATAGAGATGGGATTAAGACTACAAATAAATATGGATTTTGTACATAACTAAATTTTAATAGGTAATAGCATATGATTTATCACAATTAAAACTCCCAAGTCAACATAAATGCTCCTAAACATTCTACACCAGAACCTTATAAATTAAAATCCATGTATATAAAATGAACAAGAAATAAATCCTCTGAGGATTTATTCAAGAAAAAGTAAAGTGTCAAGGTGACCCATCACTGAAAGGTGGTGGGAATCCTGCTTATTGAGCCAACATTCTACAGTACCTTATCCTCAGTGGTACAAGGGATCTTGGCCTCAGTTAGAGTATCAACAGTACCAACACTGGGGGACAGGTCCACAACTTTATGCTTATCTTTAACACCAAGTCTACGAACAAGCTCCTCTGAAATCAGCAAATTAAGAACTCAGATACAGATTTTGTGTATCTATCTTAATTTTTACAAGGATATTTGTTGTCTTTTGCTTGAATATTGAATGTGCATGTTTAAAAAAACATAGTATCATGTTACTCTTTTTTAATAAATGTTAACTCATAGACTGCTGCAGTGTCAATATCGCAGTAATACACAATTTGATTGGACAATTAATATATTTTATTACTTTTAAGTAACTCTCTTAGCATGATTTTATTATTACATGAAGAGAAATAATAGAAAAACCAAAATGTCATATTAATATCAATTAAGTTGTGAAGGAAAAGAAAGTCTGAGAACCTTCAAGGAATTCAAACAATAGAATCTTGAAAAAGTGCTGAATGTGATTCCAAATATTGGCCCAGTGGGTTTACCTAGTTTTGAGGCTTTATCCATCTTGATAGCTTTCTTCTGTTTCTTCATGACTCTCAGTGGACCACTGTGGATGAGCGTCAAAGTTGCAGAGAATACAAATGTTTGCCGAGATTTTCTAACATCTTCATTCCTGAAAATCACAATTCCTAACAATCAATATTGTGTGATGGATTTCATAAAAAAATTCCCAGTAAATGACTAAGTCCCTCAAAACTCCATACTGCTGATCCTTGTGCAGCCAGAAAAATGACAGGAAGGGTCCCTTTAAAATAATAATTATAAACAATTCCTTTGTAAGGGAAAGAAGCCTTAATGCGTCTTTATAGAGTTTTACTTCGTCTAAAAATCTACAAAAAATACAATCTTCTGAACACTCAAAGGTGATCACAGACCACTTGGCCCCACTCATTGTCAAAAATGGACAACATATGGCCTTCTAAACACTAATGTACTTCATTTGTAACGCTTTACATACTTTACAGCCGGGGGGAGGCTACAGATGTGGCAGCTGTTTTGTAGCAGCTGTACAAGATGCCAGACATGAGGAGGAGAGGAATAGAGCAAGTACAAAGTGACACCCTGACAAATTGTGAAGAATAACCCTTTTGTACCAGTAGTAAGATATATTGTTGCTACGGGATAACATCACAGATGTCGCTGTTGAAAAGGTAGAAGACAAAAAATCTATGTTTAAAATCGGGATAATGGTTGATGGAAATCCAGTTTTTTCAGTGCAATTACCAGTGAAAGTGTACAGACTTTACATTTTATTTTGTTTATCTCTTGTGTATATAATTTCATAACAAGAACACAAATGTGTACAATATGTCCCCACCTATGGGTGATCCTGTCAAATGGTTATCCTAAAAATGAGTAGACAAGACTTTACCGACACAATTTGAGGACGGAGAATCCAAAATGGCCACCTTAAAATTTACCAAGAATGCCCAAAAATTAGTCAGTTCTAGATTTTCATACTAAGAACCACCCCTGAAAATTTGAAATTGATCCGTCACACAGTTAACCAGAAAACATGTAAACAAGACTTTACAGACAAGATTTGAGGACAGAAAATCCAAAATGGCTGCCTTGACATTTATCCAGAATGCCAAAAACTAATCTGTTCTAGATTTTCATACTTAGAATCATCCCTGAAAATTTGAAATTGATCTACCAAACAGTTCACCTGGAAATGTGTAGACAAGACTTTACAGACGAGATTTTAGGACAGAAAATCCAAAATGGCTGCCTTGACATTTACCCAGAATGCCCAAAAACTAATCAGTTCTAGATTTTCATACTAAGAATCATCCCTGAAAATTTGAAATTGATCTACCAAACGGTTCACCTAAAAACGCGTAGACAAGACTTTACGGGCAAGATTTTAAGACGGAAAATCCAAAATGGCTGCCTTGACATTTATCCAGAATGCCGTAAAAATAATCAGATCTAGATTTTCATACTGAGAATCATCCCTGAAAATTTCAAATTGATCTACCAAACAGTTCACCTGAAAATGCGTAGACAAGACTTTACAGACAAGATTTTAGGACGGAAAATCCAAAATGGCTGCCTTGACATTTACCCAGAATGCCCAAAAACTAAACAGATCTAGATTTTCATACTAAGAATCATCCCTGAAAATTTGAAATTGATCTACCAAACGGTTCGCCTGAAAATGCGTAGACAAGACTTTACAGACAAGATTTTAAGACGGAAAAATCCAAAATGGCCGACAATAAAAAAGTGATTATGAGTTTTTGCTGAAATCTTTTTACAAAATTATCACATATAACTACTGTTAACAATAACATAAGCTTTTACAACAAAGTACACCTGAAATTATTTATAAAGCTACTAAAAAGTTAAAGTATGAAAACTGAAAAACACCATTCAATATGATACAAAGTATTATCGTGCGCTAACTTTTCTTAAAACATTCAAAATGGCTGACATGACTGAGCTAACAGGTCCAAAACCTAATCAGATCTAGAATGAAGTGAGCTGAACAAGATGTTAAAGTTTTAAAAGCAACTGTGAAGCCATTTTTCTTAAAGTTTGCAGACAAGGATTTTAGCATTTGACTTCAAAATGGCCGACAGGAAGTAGGTATTGAGTTAATTTTTTTTCATCCACATCTGTATGCACTCATAAGTTATCCCTGAAAATTTGAAGGTGATATCTGTAGCGGTTTTGGAGAAAACTGCCGGACGTACGGACGGACAGACAGACGGACAGACAGACGGACGGACAGACTGACGCGCCTAGGCCGACAATATGGCCCCACACAATGTGGTGGGGACATAAAAAGTATTACGAAATTATTTGGTTCACTACAAATATTTGCTTTTTTGTGACGGTGGTCTTGAGTTTGAAATCTGTTGGAAAGTGTTGAAAATTCGAATAGGTGGCGGAAAAAGCGATTTTTCTAGAGACATTTTGAGTTCCAAGGGGGACATATGGAGCTATAACGTGGTATATGTGGTTTGATAACTGAAATATTCGTTTTTTCATAATTGATCCGAAGATTTGCATGTTTTTCAATTGAATTGTATGGGGCCATTTAATAGTGGAGTTATCCCTACACAGAACTCAAACACAATATCTGGTGACACGTATAAGAACTCTGGAACACCCACAGTTTTTGACCCCAGCTTTTAACTCCCATAGAGATACTTTTCAAGTTCAAAATGTTCATATTTCATCTCTTGGTGCTTGTGCTCAATATTGACTCCTAAGAAGAGGTATTGTACTTACTGTTAACAGTATAGTAAGTATGTATTCAGTAACATAACAATTGCTTGTATAGGTATTCTGTATGTTTGTTAATTAACAGATTGTCACAATGAGTAGGTCAATAGAATTATTGAAACAGGTATATAAATAAATACAATACAAGCTCAGTGATTCGAATTCATTTTCTATATTAAAATTATATTTACATTTTAGTAATTTAAACAATTGGAAAAGCAAATTAAAATACAATGCAATCTCTCTTATTTTTTCAAATTCTGTATGACAACTTGACAATAATGGTGGTGAACTTATTAAAAGTCAATCAAAATTACAAAATGCAAAATATATCAATGTCATCTTGACCATTCATAAATAATAGTTCATTTTACAAAATGTCCTTCCTCTTGAACTTGTTGCTTTTGTGTTAGTACAAATATTCAACGCAGGGTATTAACATGACAAAATGTCACCACCTAGTAGCTCACAATATTATTAGTTCAATCTTATATTTGAATTTCTGAGAAATTGTAGATGATTTTGAAAAAAAATTGGTCAATTTGAAGCGAGTTGAAAAAAGACCTTTTTGACCCTGAGGAGGTCATTGAAGGTGACATCTCAAATCTAAAGTCAGAACTTCTGAGAATTTGTGGATGATTTTGAAAAAAAAATTGATCAATTTGAAGCAAGTTGAAAAAATACCTTTTTTGATATTGAAAATGTCATTGAATGTCAAATCTTAAATATAAAGTCAGATTTGAACTTCTGAAAACGTATAGATGATTCGAAAAAAAAACTGAAGTCAGTCTCAGTATTTGTTAAGTTATTGGAAGTTTTAAGAATTTGTTAAAGACGCCAACCGCCAACCCGATTTGGGGAACTATTCCTACTTTTAAAATAAGGTTACAAGTAAATGATGAGGAGGGGGTTGAATCCCTAAAAATAGAATAAGATGGGGAACTTTAACCCCTACAAATTATAGAACAGATAACAGGCTATAAAGACTCCAACTCTCCTAAAACTTGATGATGATCATTATGTAACTGGTTAAGTATGCAGGCCAGGAGCCAGGGGGTTCAAGCAAGTCATTTTGGCCATTTTTGGGCCAAAAGTTATCAAAAGTGAACCCCCTGATATTTAAAAAAAATGAACCCCCCTTGGCATATCCTGGTTATGGGCCTGGTGTGTTCTAGATTTTGAGCTGTTAGGTCTGAATGGGCAGTGTTCCATGTTACCAAACAACATGAACCACAACTGATCATAATATTTTCAGTCTGTCCCAACTTTTGAACTGGTATACACAACCCAGGAGAATACTATAAGAAGGCCATAACTTGAAATTATGTTGAATGGGTACCATAAGGATATTTGAACAAATGTCCCAGTTCTTAAACTTGAAAATCTGAATCATGAACGTAATTCCTATGTTTAGATATACATGTACTACTACAGAACATTCACATCAAAATTTAAAGTACATGTTTGAAACTGGTTAATAATCTAAGAGCTTAGTCATTTTTGAAGGGAAGCTCAATCCTGACGCTTTAAATTTGGAAGCAGTTTCTTTTAACTGGAAAGCAGGCTTTTTCATACAGCATATATACATCACGGAATAAGAGAGATCAGGTAAGAGTCAAATATGATTTAAAATGAAAAATATGTGAAAACATAAATTCCTTAAAGTCCCCGTCTAAAGTTTGAAAATATTTTTTTATCATTCATTTACTATTTGTCAGGACTTAAAAAGTGATTTTAGAGATTTTTGAACAAAAAGAAATTTTTGAAAAAAAAGTTATGAGCATTTCATTTCTCAAATATTCAAATTTCCCGCCATTTTTCAAAAAAAGTTGAAATTTCTTAATCATCAAATATTTCTTAATGCATTTCAAAAGAGATTATCTTTTTAACACCAATGCAAAGATTGAACAAAGGACACAATATTTCGATAATAAAATGCCATATTTAATGGGCCAATTCAATGTTTTAGCATATCAAAAATATTTTGAAACATTAGTGATGTCACTAAGGTACCAAAAACTTTTTGAAAAAAATTGAAATTTTTTTTTCAATGTCAATCTTTTCTAAATATGTTAGACTTCATAAAAAACCAATGTTGATTGTCTAACCAGGTTAAAAGGAAGAATAAATTATGTTTTACATATCATTGTACCATTGGTTTCTATGAGAACTAAAATTTTGAAATGCATTTTTCTCAGAACCATTTTCATGCACTGATAAGTTCATTTCTCGCTTATTTATGAACCGATTTTCTTAATTTTTTCGGCAAAAAACATCGGAGGATGAATGTTATACATTGGTATGAATTGTGGCTAATTAGAAGATATGAGTGACCTCTAAAAGTTGGTTTTAAATAAATTCACAAATTTTGGAACAAAAAGTCTATCAAAAAACACTTTTTGAAATTTAAAAAAAAAGTTTCACATATCACACTTTGATAACATTGGGTAAGACTACAATTTAAGCCAAAGTGGTTTAAACTTTATATGGGGCCTTTAAATAGATGTGATAGCAGTTACTATAGATATGATTAATATAAAAATTTCTCTATTGTTTACATGTATTTATAATATATCATTGCTTGATGATATTAGTTACTTAATATTAGCCAAATCAACTCATTAAGAGCTCAATTAGTTGAAGAGGATGAATCGTGCATTTGTTAAATCTGATTGTCTTATCTTATGATTTGAATAAATTTATCAAAGCTTCCCCTAATGTATGGGTAATAGGCAAAAACATACATTACATATAGTACCTAAATTACTGTAAAATCGGCACTAAAATTTTGAAAATCGGCTTTCAAGGAGAGCTCCTACCCCCATAGGGTATATGTGTACAAAATACAGTGAAAGCAAAATATATTTTAATTGTATTCCTGTACAGAAAATCAATGTGCAATCAATAAGAAAAGGGTTTGTAAAAAACAGTTTAACAGAATCCAAATCAGAAGAGTATTGGTCTGAGCAGTTTGCTCAAACGGATTTCTCAGATTTTTACAAGATTTTGTTTAAATGTAACATTAGCAATAATGTTAAAGAATTTATATTTAAATGTTTTAATGGAGCCATATGGACAGAAAAAAAATTACAAAAAATTCACAAGTCAAATGGAATTCGTAAAATATGCAATGTTGAAGCAGAAAGTCATAAACACTTATTTGTCAATTGTACGAATGCAAAGGAATATGTAAATACTCAAAATTTAAAGTTTTCTGAACAAGAAATTTTATTTTATAGCAATGAAGGAGATTTTGAGAGCAAATGCCATAGAAACCAGCTAGTGTTTAAACACAAGTTTGAAATTTGGAAAATTAGAAATAGTAAAATCTATAACCAATAAGTTCTGTATTCCTGTATAAGTACCAATGTAACCATTGTATATTATGTAAAAATTGTATAAATGTTGTTTCAATGTTAATAAATTAATTTAAAAAAAAAAAAAATGTGTACAAAATATGAACAAAATTGGGCCAAAGGTATTTGAGTTATTGCATGGACGGACAGACGGACGGAGGCATTCCGTATATCCTTCCGAACTTTGTTCGATGGGATAAATACATACATGTATTCAATTAAGCTTATAAACCACCCATGGAAAGTTTAGTTTAAGTTAATATAATTCATTTCTGTGTCACAAAGTTAAACATTTTTATAAAAATTGCTTCCAACCGATGCAGGCTTAAAAGACACCAGTTAAGTAAATGCATAGATAATCTTCAATAACTAAATGAAATTAAATAGTGTATGGTAAAAGAATGATAAAGACCATATACATTGAAATCATTGTTCGTTTTCATCTACTAAAAGGAGACATCTTCCCCATGGTTGATGTTCCTGTGAGGTAGATGAGTGCACAAAAAAACCCTGATCAATCGATGAGGTAGGGAGCCCTCTCGTTGGCCATGTACCCCCCCCCCTTGAGGAGTCTCCCATACCATCGAAGACTTACAGACTTACAACTGTGCTGTAATAGTCATGATCATGCACATTTATATGTGTAATAACACATCAAAGTTTAAATTTAAAAAAAGTAACAGAAAGAAAGCAAATAGTTCAAAATCTGGGACTATGGCCCTTATTCACAGTCATACAATAGAATTGAACATTGACAGGCTGATATTTCTGTTTGTAATAAAAGCAAAAAAGTAAAAGGAATGCAATGAGGTAAGAATCTGGGAACATCTGAATGATTAATTTCTCTCAGAATTTCAATGATATTCTGATGTCTCTTTGGTTACAGTTTTTGTTTTGGGGGTAGCCCATGACCCACCCATGACAACTGTGCTGTTGTCACTCATACTATATTTGATTTATAACCATTTCTCTATTGTTATTGTTATTTATAACAATAATATCTTGCCTCTAACAACAACCAATACACGTTCTTAAAAAAAAAAAAAGAAGGAATGCAATGGGGTAAAAATCTGGGACAAACTCTTCTGAATGACTGATTTCTCTCAGAATTACAATGTTATTCTGATGTCTCCTTGGGTACAGCATTTGTTTTAGGGGTAGCCCATGACAACTGTGCACAAAGGTGTGAACCGATCACATTTCAGGATAATCTTAAGTGTTTTTTACAAAATATAATATTTAAACACATTATAACAAAGATTTACTATTCAAATATGAAAAGTTTGAACATTTCAGATTATTGACATAGAAATAACAAATATACAATTTAACTGTCATTATGACATTTTCTCCACATGAAGTATGGAATATGGGAGGGCACTGTGCACAACTAGAATGCTAGATGGAATTCCTTTAATTAGAGGGAATAGAGAGAATAAAATATTTCCTCGAAATCCTAATTTCATTTTCTAAAAGAGAATTAAGATATCTGATATGAAAGTCATTGAACATGCAGAAGTGTCCGTATTCATTAGAATTTGAAAAAGGCTAAAAAGGATTTTTGACCATTGTAGATTGAGCAATATGCTGTTTGTGATCCTACTCCTGTCTCAAGTGGCCGCAACAGCCGCTGATGCACCTACAGTCACTCTACCAAACGGTCCAATCACAGGTAGTGAGGGATCACTAGCCAACCTCGCCCAATACCCTGCCTTCCAGGGCCGTAACACGACATTCAGAGCATATAAAGGGATACCATTTGCAGAACCACCAACTGGATCTCTACGATTCCAACCTCCCCAGCCTTTAAACTCAACATGGAGTTCTGCCCGCAATTCAACTATGTTTAGCAAGGCATGTGCACAGATTATTTCTCCTCTGCAATTTCCAATCCCAGAAAGTTCTGTAAGTGAAGACTGCTTATACTTGAATGTCTATGCACCGGGGGATGGGACAAGTACGGAGCAAAAAGCCGTCATGGTGTGGATCCATGGAGGTGGGTAAGTACTTGATGTATCATCAATATTATAAACTTGCAAAATGTCACTACCTGCCATTTGTAACAGACACTGACCACCAAACATGGAACACTGAACACCAGCCAATTGTGGTGGTGACATGATAAAATAAAAATGATTTCAAAAGGGCTCATCTTACCTTTTCGCGAAATCATATATCATTATTAATTTGCAATTTCACAGACCTGAATCAAGAATTAAATTCAATTTATAGATATGCAGTTGGTGGTGTTAACGCATTTACAGAAGCAGAAATGATGGCAGTAATAGGAGATGTTGTTATAGTAACCATCAACTACAGATTGGGCATCTTCGGTTTTTTCAGCACAGGGGATTCAGTTGTGCCAGGTAGGTAAAAGGTTCATGTTTTAGGTAAAAGGTTCATGTTTTAAGGAAAAAACATGTTATAAGAAGAAGGCATTCATACCAGGTTTAATTAATAAATGAAAACCATTGCTAGACAGGCTGGATAGGGTATCAAATCATTGTGAAACTGCATTGATACGAGTACCTTAAACGCACTATTGTATCCATATTATATAGCATCAATCAATTAATTCATCATAATATTATGTAACTTCTCGGTACTTCCAAGGTAAGTTAAAAAAAATAGATATGATATGGAATTGATATGATATGGATATGGAGAGCAAAAAACATTCCAAAATTGTGACGACTTTTCAACTCTCGATCTTTACTATTTCCTTTTCAAACTCTATTATAGGCAACATGGGCCTCTTGGACCAACAATTTGCTATCCGTTGGGTGAAAGATAACATTAACTTATTTGGTGGAGATCCAACAAGGATTACCATATTTGGAGAATCTGCAGGTGCCTCGAGTGTAAGCCAACAAGCTGTCTCTCCAACAAACACTGGCCTTTTCCAGTAAGTGAACTAACAAGTCAAAATATTAATATGTATATCAAAATCTATAAGGAGATTCTTAACTTAGATAGTACATGTAATTCTTAATTTAAGTTAAATATATCAAAGTGAAACACCATTGGTTTTCCAAATTTTCTCGAGGCAGACATTTGTTACTTTAAAAGTACATGTACATGTATGTCACTGTTAATGCCCTTTGGCCATAAAGCTGAAAACAGAATGGAATTGGATGAACAAAAAGTTGTTAGAGGTGGAAAACTAATGCAATAGTTATATATTTGCATAAGTTATGTTTAACTCATGAATTATTCCATCTATTTGCAGAAGAGTCATAGCCCAGAGTGGGAATGCTCTTTCATCCTTTGCAATCACAGAAGTAAGCACGGAGACCAACACAGCAATAGCTACTCAAGTTGGGTGTAACAATACCAATGTCACTGCAATGGTAACATGTCTACAAGGGGTTAATACTACTGCCCTCCTAGATGCTGCCAAGATAGTAACTAGATGGGCCGCAGTGATAGATGGCGTGTTTATCATTGACAACCCAGCTAACATGCTGATGTCTACTACTGGTCCAGCACAGGATATGTTAAAGAGTGTTGACCTCCTACATGGTATTAACAGTGATGAAGGCTATTTTTCGGTGAGAGGGATGTATCCACCATCGGAGACTCCAGGGTTTAGTTGGAGCAGCGTACAAAATCTGCACACAATGTACAGAGGAGTATTCACCCAAATGTTTGGTTCGGATCCTGAGCTACTAGAAGCTATTTGGTGTTCATATTTTGGGAGTAATTCCGTCAACCTGACAAATGATGATCTGGCTGATATCATGCATGAGCTAATGACAGACAATTCATTTCTATTGCCAGCTACAAACTTTGCGAATCTGCATGCAAATCTAGGTGGTACACCCTATGTATACCATCTAACACATAAACCAACAGTGAAGTATTCATTCCAAGGAGAGACCCCATCATGGGTTGAGGGACCAGACCATACTGAGGACCTGGTGTATATATTTCCAACGATAAATACCTACCCTCAGGTTCCTTCAAGTGAGCGAACCCTATCATACAACATGATCACTTACTGGAGCAACTTTGCCAAAACTGGGTAAGGAATTTCTTTCAAATATTTGATACTTCTTATAATTTAAGCTCCTTGAATTGTAAAAATGACTTGCGTCATCACTTGATTAATGTTTTTTCCCTGAAGTTGAATTTACAATTGTATCTATAAAAAAGGGTTGAAATTGAGAATCAGTCAACTTCAAAAAGCTATCAGAATCTTAGATAGTACATGTACTTAGTGCATGTCATATTCTATTATGTTAACAGCTTCCCCATTTACTTAATCAAATATCACTCACTGATTTTAATTAGTTAAAATGCAAGACATTATTTATGATTCCAGGAACCCCAATCAACCCAGTGCTTCCCCAGAACTTCCTGCTACATGGCCAGTCTACACCAACGACCCAGCCACAACCAAATATCTTACTCTGAAAGATTCCAGCGAGATATCATCAGGCGTGATAAAACCAGATCGTGTACAATTCTGGGGACAAACTGTACCTGGTATGATGGCTGGAAATGTGGCTAAAGAATGCATCAACTTGGGACTTGCACCTGGTGACAATGATGGTGATGGTAATGGGACAGCCTCCATTATAATGGGACATGTGATATATTCAGTAACTCTTGGCTTACTCTTGTCATTTTTACTCATTTAATACCATAATATACTTATTAGTAGCACTGTTCTCTCAAAGAGTTTTCTCAGTTAAGACTCATTCGCCTATTTTTCATGCAAATGACCAGTGTGGACCCTCAGGCTCAGGTGGGTGTTAACGAACTTAACGCCTATTATTAAAATCTCAAGTGAGTGCATCCACTTGTTTTAAAGCTGGGGAGATCACTGCCATGGTAACAAAACTTTGGTTGCCAAGAAGCTGTGAGTATGACAACAACATCTCATCATAACTGAGATAAAGTGTTCCACTTGGATTCAGCTTTTAGAGCTTCAACAGGTCACATAAGAATGTAAAATTATTAAGAGATAAATAATGTTTCATGCTGAATCTCAGAAAACTGAAAAAACGTCTTGTATAAATTTTTTTAGAGTTTTTTCTAGGATATATTTTCTAGGCTTTATTATAAGCAATCTGTTTTATGATACTAAGCCTGTGTTTTATATTTCTCTTTACTGCACAAAACCTTTATACACACTGAATGTGCAAAAAGAAAATTCCACATATTACATCTTTACAATCTTCATTTATAATTTATATGTACCTGGAACACCAATCATTCTCATGCGGAAAAAAGTATTTCAATAATGCTATAATTTAGTTAAATTTGAATTCTGCATTAAGAAAGCTTTATTCTTAGGCAGTTATGAGATGGTTGTTATAGAAAAAGAATGTGACAAAAGCCCTTTCTTCAGCATAAATGGGAAAATAATAACAATAACCCTTATGACGAACCCTGAACAATAAGGTATTCTTATCAGAAATGGCTTCCAACTAGAACAAGAACTATTGCATTATAAAGTTGTATATGTGTTTGTGTTGCATTGTATATGTGTACAATAATAAAGTTATCACTTACTCATTTGCCAATTTCAGAACTTTATTTTGTCCTATTTGTGTAAAATAATAAAGTTATCACTTACTCGTTTGCCAACTCTAGGATCTTCTCCATCTCCTCAAAATGACCTTTCTCAACCATTCTGTCAGCTTCATCAATGATAAGGTTGGGTAACTGTTTGATGGTTGCTAGGTGAGGCTCTCCTTGTTCAATCAGTTCCCATAATCTACCAGGAGTTGCCACGACGATCTCAGGGCAACGTTTTAGTATACGTTCCTGCTTTTGGGAAGCCATTCCACCAACAATAACTGCAACCTACAGAAAAATAGGCCAAATATATACTAGTGCGATAAACCATTTTCTGTAAAAAAAAAAAACACTTTAAAACTCATAATTTTAAAGTTGTACCATTTGAGCAATACTTTTAACCCAATACTAAATGACCAATATTAATGTGCCTTTGTAACAAGTTATCAAATCAAAGCTAAATCAAAAATTGTAGGAAATATCCTGTGATGGTTTTCTAAAATATTCTGAGGAAAAAATTGACTTAGTGTCTCACCTAAAATTATCAAAGTAAATTTTTTTGATTAATTAAAACAGATCTACATGCAGATGATGTAGTACCTTAATATCTGTATATTTGGCTGCTGTTTCAAGGTGATTCTTCACTTGGATGGCTAATTCCCTAGTAGGGGTTAATATGAGGCCTAAGAGGGGTCCATTCTGATACCGTTTGACTGCTTTTGTAGGGGCTGTAGGTTCCTCATCTAACCAGGGAAACTTCACATTATTCACAGCCCTGACACACCCTGTAGTGGCCTCCTATAAGTAAAATGTATATACAACAAACTGACAGCAGAACACAATATAAAGAATACACATTACAGGTTATCTCCAAAACATTGCTGTAATTGAAAATTACTTTGATCCAAGCTAAAAATCTGTTGGCACTCATTTGTGAGTTTAAAAATCATGATAATTTGAAATATTTTGACATTAATTTCTTAGTCTGAATTTTCAGAGAACTCAGTCCAACTGCTTATAGCAGCAAATAAACTAAACCAATGTTCAGTGACATCTTTATTCAGAGGCATGTATGTTGATGCTCTGTTACAGTTCTAAGAATCAAATTCAGAACAGCGAGCAAAAGAAAAATTCCATATCAAAAAAACCATATCATGGTTTGCAATTTCTCAATGTGTTTTTGATGATGTGATATGTATGTAAGTTCAACTTACTTCATCTGAGAAGTCATCATCATCTGAAGGTGGTCTATCAAACTCCTCATCAGACTCATCACTCCCAATACCTGTGTCTAAGTCAGTAACATCTAACCCAAAACTACTGAGCTCTATGGGTTTAGCATTTTCATAGTCCATGTCCTGATCTTCCTCCCCATTGTCTGAACTGTTCTCAGTCTCTTCATCATTTTCATCCTCATCGCTATCATTATTTGTCTCACTGTTCTCTTCATTTTGGACTATATCTTGATCACTCTCACTGTGATTATCACTGTCTTCAATATCACTTTCTTCATTATCACTTGAATCTGAGATATCAGTACCATTAGTTCTTGACTCGAGTTGTTGTTTTATTTTCTCTTTATATGCTAATATATTGTGGATTAAAGGTATACCAAATGCTAATGTCTTTCCACTCCCCTGAAACACAAAGAAGTTCTTTTGTTTTGTAACTGTTCACAGATTCATCCATTGCGGTTCACCAGTAGTGAGGAATGTGCACAGAAACTTAATAGGAGATAAATAGGCATACATATCTAAATGTTAAGACACAGTGGCCACAGAACATTGATCTTTGTGACATAATTGACAGGTAAAAACAATTCCATGTTAAATCATATTTTTTCCATCTACCAATAATTTTCCTTCTTGATGGTTATTTTTCAGAAAGTGGCGAACCTACACATGTATACACAGGCTTTCAACTTACTGTTGCTGCAGCTCCTATAACATCCATTCTGTCTCTTATAGCAGAAGGGAGGATCTGCGTCTGTATTGGGGTGGGGGTTGTGAAGCCTTCTTCTCCAAGAGACTTCAGAACAGGCTCTGGCACATACAGGTTCATCCATTCAGACATATCTGGAGACACATTAATAGGAACTGGTTATGTGAATATTAGATTGTTCTTAATTTGGTGGCTTATATCTCTAACACTTGTTACACTAAACATGTAATGAAGCTTAAACAGAGTTAGCACCATATACATGGAGAAAATGAGTTTTTGTTCAGTATAGAATTGTTTAAATTGCCAAATAAGAACTATAATATTCAGTTTATAACTGATATAATTCAAATACAGAACATAGACCTGAGTACAAAATAAAAATAAGCTAAGCGATGTTTGATGTAGGATATGAACTATATCCCTGGTGATGTATCACATCTTACTTCGGACACTCCAGCCCCTAAGCAAAACATTTATAATTCCCCCAGGATATGACACATATCCAAAACCTCATGTAACATAACCTTTATATCTGAGCAGGAGTGGATCCTGAAGCGTATCATATAATGCATAGAGACTAGAGAGTCTTTATAGCAGCATTTTCAACAATTTGCATGAGCAACTGCGCCCCTCTTTGGACCCAATCCCTGAGGATTTCATTAATCGTGCCGAAGAGGAGACTCAGAGGAAAGAAGAACTCTGTGGTGTGGTGAATGAAATGGAGAAGCTAGGCTTTGGATGTAGATGCACCCCCCACCCTTGTAAATATCCTGGGGAAACATCTGAATTTGTAAGGGCTGTACAGGCCCGTAGCCAGGATTTGCCAAGTGGGGGGGGTCAGTTTTCAAAAATTTCCAGGGGGGTTCACATTTGACAATTTTGGCCCAAATATGGCTAAAATCACTTGAGAAGTGCTCAAAATGGTGAAAAACTGCATGATTTTGAAAGAATTTTGGTCAGGGGGGATTCGCCTGAACCCTGCAAACTCCCCCTGGCTACGGGCCTGGCTGTCTCACCTGCTTTGGTTTCCTTTTCCTCATCTTTCGACTCTTCAGTTTCTTTTGATACATCATTTACTTTCTGCTTCTTGGAGACTGGTTCATCTTTTACCGCTGGAAATATGACAATATTATGTTCAATAACAGGTCACTATATAAATATAATATTAAAGTATTTAATATGTCAGTTCAGTTTGTGTATACATTACAGTAGCATATTGACTATTCTTGTGACCTTGACATTATATGACCTCAATGTTCCTGACCACCATGATCAATACCAATTTTTATAAGCAATCGACTCTGGTATCCGCTTTGAACTTGGAAGAAGAAACATAATGTACATATACACTGTAGGTTATTTCATGCTTGATTTTCAAGATGAATTTTATTCCAGGGGAATATGATATTGATCGAGGGAAATATGAAACTGACTGAACGAGAGTAGCGAGTGAGTGTCAATATAATATTTACCGAGGTCAATGTCATATTTCCCGTGGGACAAAATCCATATTGAAAATCAACCATGAAATTACCTTTTTATTCAATAATTTAATTTTTCTATGGCCCTGTTACAAGTAAATACATGTAGGCTATAAAAGTGATCGAATTTGAACCACATGATGCACTATGACCATTCTGTGATGAACTGCTACTAGTGTCCCGGGTAGATTTAGGATTATAATTACTTTTCCAAGATAGTTTTTTCAGCAAATCGATTTTTGAGTAAATACGATCCCAATACGATTTTCCCCCGGGACAATATAATTTTTCGAGTATATACGATTTTCAGAGGGACAATACAAATTGATTTCCCAGGGAAAACAGTAGTATTATGGAATAATATAAAATGAAGTACTCTTTCAAATATACCTTGGTTATTTTTCCTTTTGCCCCGCTTGCCTCTTTTCTTTTTTTTCTTACTAAACTGCTTTGTTTTGTCATTATCTTGCTCCTCCTCAGGAGCATCTGACTTAGCAATGTCCTCAATCACACCATGTTGAACTATCTTACCACCAGATTTCTGCTTTTTATTTGATTTAGTTTGTTTGACAGATTTAGATTGGTCCTGCTTAATCTCTTTGATTTTTTGAACTGTTTTCTTCTTGTTATTTTCTTTTATGATCACTTTCTCATTAACATCATCAGTTTTTTCATCGCTCGTATTTGGACTTTCTGCTGGTTTGGGCTTTTTCTTTTTCCTCTTTTTCTTTTTCTTCAATTTTGATTCCTCAGAAGGAGATGTAGCCTTCATGCTATTTGACCGTATTGTTGTATCATTGCTTTTCTGAAAATATAAATTTGAATAAAATGAAGATTTATGTAAGAACTGCCAACCAATAAAATCATATTTACTCATCCATCCTCATGAAACATATTGAATGTGGAGTGGCGTACTTAGACAATACAAGCAGAAGCCATGATTCAGACTTGAAGCGATAAGGAACTTCTCTGCCATTTTTCTTTAACGTAAACTGTATTCAGATGTTGAAAAGGAAGCTATTGTTGCCTTTGATCAAAACATTCAATCACTTATTGATTTTGACCTAATAAAAGGTTTTACCATTTCCTTACTGAAGGGTTTTTGGGAAAATTTTGAAAACAATAAAACATTTTTTTAAAAACATGATTTCTGAAGACACGCGGTCCTAACTTCGACCGTTAATTTGAATTTTTGACCTACCAGGTCCTTGAAAATCAAGGATTGCGAGTCTCATACTGCGCACTGTTCTTCTTCAAACTTATACCATTAAAAGCAGAACAAAATTGCCTTTCTGTCGGTGCATTACTTTATTGTAAAGAGTCTCTCGTTCTAGCAGCGTTTTGGTCCCCAGATGTTAGAAGGCCTTCTTACAGCTGGGGACCAAAATGCCGCTGGAAGTAGGGACTCTGTTGAAGAGAATAATGTACCATCAGAAAGGGATTTGTGTTATGCTTTGAATGGAACAAGTTTGAAGAAAAACGGTGCTATATGAGACTTGTAATCCTTGATTTTCAAACATCCGACAGGTCAAAAATTCAAATTAACGGTCGAAGTTAGGACCGCGTAGAAGAGAAGAGATAGGAATATATGGAATATTTTACATCAATAGAAAGTGTTAGTGTCCTTCTTCAATATTTCAACCTAATTTGCATTGTTATGTAAATCATATTTTTCAGTTATGACGTCAAAATCCAATATGGCTGACATTTTTAGCCAAAAATTACTTAGGAACTAGTGGTTATTCTTAAGTAACATTTTTTCTCAGAATATATTTGCTAAAATTCCAATTTCTGATGTAGGCTAATACAAAGTGACAGCTTTCAAATGGTACATTATATAGGGTCTCATTCTTCTTAATATTTTTTTTGAGAAGACTTTATATATCCAAAAACGCTGAAAATCTCTATGGGAGTTTAATGTGTAAGATAATTTTTTATGACAAGTCATGTTCAAGCAGCTGTAACTTTGCAACCTATGGATGGATTTTTAAAACTTTGTATCATATTGAAGATATTTGCTAGAGCTTTCTATTGGTGCATAGAATGAGACATATACTATCATACTGTGGTCAAAAAAACCTCTAAAGACCATTCGGCATTGTTAGTGCGATTTTCCTATTTCCAGAGAGAGTTAAAAACATAGATACTTTCATTTGGCATCTGTGTCACATCTGTTAAATTCCATAAATGTGATCAAATGATGGGTGTGAAGATCTAATAGGCTAGTGTTTGACTTTGATGGATATTTCAATGAATTAAAAACATAGGGCAATGGCGGACATGGGAGTAAAGGGGCTGAACCTTGAAAAAGTCTGTTCCTCCCACATTACTGGGCATTATTTTTAATTTTTAGCCTAAATTTTAAGAAAGCCTTGTAGTTAGAACAAGGCATATAACATGCAAAATGTCACCACCTGCCATTTGCTACAGATGCTGACTGGTGAATTGTTGGTGAATTCCCAGGTCCAAATTCTTTCAAAGCTGCCTCAAAAAACATTCCAATTATTATATTATTGATAACACAAGAATACGTCACTGGTGGGCATAATCAGATCACATGATTCAGTTTAATAGGGTGCTTCCAAATTGGTCATAGCAGGGGTGAAGCAAGCAGTCCAACTGTCCCGCAATTTGCGTATTTGTACGCATTTGCTGATGAATTTGAAGTCAAGCCTGTTTTTTTTAGCGTGACACTGACAGAACACATCTTGTGTTTTTTTATGATAATTGTCATGTCAAGCAAAAACATTTCGGGAGATCATCAAAAAATTAACACTGAAAAATGAATGCCAAAAAAACAAACACAGTTTCGTTCAGAATTTTTACGTGAATTGCGTATATGTCGAGCGTAATTGCTTCGGATTTTCTTGTTTTGCCTAGGTTGACAGGCTGGCCTGGGAGAAGAGGTTACGCATTCTAGACACCTGCTTAGGAGGATGCATAGATAACGATATCTGTGGGTGATTGTGAATAAGTTTTACAAGAAAATTTCTAATATTTCCAAATGAAGTGTTTTCTTACCTTTTTCACTACGGGATTATCAGAAATAATTTCATATGATGACAATTCTTCACAGCAGAGAAGATCTTTGAGATTACCCTTTTGGAAGGATTCATTGTCAATAGTGACTGATTTCCATTTGGATTTTGCTTTCACGTGGAGAGGCATGTTGAAAAATTAAAAACAATCTAGACCTATGAGCAACCACATAAAAATTATTAGACTAAGGGACAAATCATAACATAATCATAATTGCACATATGAATATTATCAGATTATTGAACGATTATAGTCTTTTGCTCCTTGTCATCTAGAAATTTAAATTTATTCGATAATTGGGTTAATAAATACGCTGAAATTAGGTATATTCAGATATATATGTGGTGTGTCACACTTGAAGATCACATCCGGTTTAAAATTTGAAAATATTTGAAATTTTGTTTTCAGTTTCAGTTGATTAAACAATGAAGAAACCATTTCCACGATCAACTCTGAAGCGTATATTGAAAGAACAAACTCCTAGACATTTAGAGGCGAATGTAGACGTTTTGGTTTGTATTCATATTTCGATGAATTGATTCTAGGGTTTCAAATTTGATTCCACTCTCCTAAAAACTAAAGTGGTGAACATAATTAAGGTTCAGCTGGAAAGTAACATTTTGGTAAAAAATTGCTATACCTGCACATGTTATTTTCTGGTACATAATTAAGTATGAAGGCATGTGTGTATTTCCTTGCTTTTTTCAGGAAAGTATCATTACACTGTCTACTTTTAGTAAACCTGGAAACAGGTCAATGGTAGCTCCTGTGTTGTCTGGAAACTTTGAAAGAAAATTTGGAAAAACAGGAAGTGTGAAATATCAGAATTCCCTGGAGTTCCCTTTGAACGCCTACCAGATATTTTAAAAGAAGACAATGTAATGATACTTTCCTGAAAAAAGTAAGGAAATTGATACATGCCTTCATACTTTATTTTGTACCAGAAAATAACATGTGCAGGTATAGCAATTTTTTACCAAAATGTTACTTTCCAGCTGTACCTTAATTACTAACACTATGAAAAAGACATTCTGTCACATATGTCATAAATTCTTACCTCAGTGAGTTGAGTGCTCTATTTTCTCCGTCCCGGAAGGTATAAAAATAGTGGAATTTGTGTCCATAATGACAAATAGAAACTTAAAAATTTGAACTACAGTGCTGATATATAATAATTAAGGGTGCGTTTTCAAACTAAACAGAGTGCTCCTATCAAAATGAATTTGCCTACATACCCCTGAGACTCTTATCTGATAGATAGAATGCACAAATAAAACAAAAATTTTGCTATTATAGGTAAAAAGTTCTCTTGAAATTTCGAAGTGATTTTACCTGTTAATTCTGTCCATGTCACGCCATTTTTGCGGAAGTTACACTGAAACGCAAACTCCATGAAACGAAACGAAATCACTAGAAAAAAACATGGCACACATTGTGCGCATGTGCAGCAAAGTTTAGACCAATCAGATTATTTGATTATTTTGCGCATATGAATTAGTTGCTTCTGAGCACTTACAAGCTTACCACAATAAACAAAGCTGGCAGTGACTACCCTTAGCCTACTTCATTTTGGAGAAATTTCAGCTCAAACTCGTGACAAATGCATTATGCATACGCTGGTGTGAAGCCTTGGAGACACTCATTTTGGTAAATATGATTTATGGGGTATACTTTTCTGCAGTTTGTGGGAGTTTGGGACATAAAATGTTAAAATTCAAGAAAATATGCCAATTAAACGACTGATCAATTAATATATACCAGCACTGTAATATTCACATGTTAATGCCGACTCTTCAAATGATGAGGTGATTGTGGAGCCTGATTATGCCGCAAGAAGGATTGGCTCTGGCTCCCAGAATGCAACATGACACGTGCCAGCTTTCAAAATGCCATTCCGCCATTTTGAAACCTGTCACAAGTAAATAAGTTTAACTGATGTTGCATTCTGGGAGTCAATCCTCCTTCACATTTAATCTTTTGTTACACCTAGTGCCTGAACGACAGTGAGATTCCATTGTTTGGCTATAACGACATTGATATTTCTGTTGCCGATAGCAAACTGTCGTGCAAAACCCGTAAGTAATCTTGTGTTTCACTTTTTCAAGCGTTATCTTAATACTATATGTTACTGTTTTCAGATGTACCTTGACTATGTCATGTTTGTAAGGAGGCTAGTTCAAGCAGCCAAATCAGAGGCAGAGCGACGCAAAGTAAAGAAAATCACAGATGAACATGTGAGAGCTGTGAAAAAGGTAAAACAGTTTATTGTCTGGATGCATTTTATTATTACTTCTTTGTACACATATGTGTTTGCTTAGCCAGTATATATTGGATTTAAAATTTGATTTTGAAGGAGCCCAATATTTGTTAATGTTGTCGAAAAATGGAACCTTAACTTATATAAAAGTTGTACTAATAGTAATTCTCATGAATTTACCAATTTTCATTTCAGAAGGTTTTGAAGATGTGCCACAAATGAAGGTCTAATTGTACTGGGATTTAGGACATAATGGATACTCATAAGAATATCTTAATATACAGGATTCGAGATAGATCAACACTCACTACAATCATCATTATACTTAGTTAGAACTCAAATGATTTACATTGCAATATTGTGATCATAGAGTTCTCGGGATAAACATATCTATCTTATGTTGGACACTGAGTGAGATCAGATATGCTATTGAAGATGGATGTTTTACTTCAGTTCAACTCCATTAAACTTCAAGAGCTGGTAGCCTGGTACTTTGTTGATATTTTCATTAAGGATATGAACTCACTGAACAACAGAACTATTGGTATGAATCAAAATGTTGTCATGAATTAACATGTATAACTGACAACAACATAAATTATAATTTTATAAATTAAAATTACATTAAAGAAGGGGGTTACAGGGTTCTAGCTGAGCATAAATGGCTATTATATCACTGTTATCATTGATGAACAAGAAAATTGTTGTCATGAATTGACATGTATAGCTGAAATCAACATAAATTATAATTTTGTATATCAAAAATACATTTAAGAAGGTGGACTCCAGGGTTCAGCTGAGCATAAATGGCTATTATATCACTGTTATCATTGATTTACAAGAATAGTTTCACATATTCCCTCGTCCAAATGTAGCCTATATCTTTTTGAAAAATGAAAAAAATGACATCACCTAAAATATTATATAAAGTCAGGAGTGTCAGACTCAGGAAGAACAAAACATTTATTTCTCAGATATTTAAAATTACACCCAAACTTCTGACTTTACAAATTGTGTAATAGAATGTTCTTGTTGAGGATAAACCATGATAATACACTGGTATGCAAAATTGTTAGGAATTCAAAATATCTTTACATTGATGTACAATATTGTATTCTATGAGTCAATATGCAACTTTGTAGATTTTTAAATGTTCAGTTTGGAATAATATAATATTTAATACTGAATAAATAAAATGTGCACTTTGGCAAAACAGTGTTATATTCTAGTTTGTTAAAGGTTCAGATCTAGCGAGCATCCTTGACAAAAATTGCTTGAAATTGGTAAATTATCAAAAGAATGTGGATCAAATAAGTTAGATACATAGTGTCCCATGAGTAATGGAAATTATTTTCCTACAAAATAGAGCATATAAGTTGGTATGTCAACCCTTTACAGGCCATCATCATCAAAATGATAAACATAATCCAGCAAATCTTTAGTTGGTAAGAATTAAATAACTGGACCATATTCCAAGTGAAGTTTTTTGAGTTTTATAACATGTATAAGATTATGAATTTACAAGAGAGTGACACAAAAATTACAAAGGAGAACAAACAAATATTCCCCTCCAACCAGAAACCAGAAGTCCCTATTGAATCACAGATGAAAGCCTGATTATATTTGGAGATTTAAAAAATTCATCAATTCCTCGTCATAAATTTTGTAATAACTCAGATGCGAGTAGGTAGTTAGCAGTTTCATCACCAGGTGGCTCATTTGGGTCCGATAACATGGCAGGTATTTAGAAAGTTCCCTTATACTTGAATATTCATAAGTTTTAGTGGTTCATTTTTCATATTACCCTTGTGTATCTGATTGTTATAGAAATTAAAATAGATCCAATAAAAGAAAATATTATTTTTCCAATACAAAAAAATATATTTCACTTTTTGTGATTTTTATATAATGGGGTCTATTGGGAATCTCCCTGACTAAGAAGTCACATTTGAATTTTCATGATAAATATCAAGATTGTTTCTACTCGCATCTAGTCTATTAGGATCAAAATTATTAAACATAAATTGGCTATCCATTGAAAACTTATGGTAGAGGAGTGTATCTTTTGCATGCCAATAATATCAAGTCAAATGAGTCATTCAACATTGTCACTGAAAGGGGCGGCATCAAAATATCAATGTCTGATAGAAAGCTAAATAAAGAAGAGAAAACGCATGTTTTAGTTAAGAAATATAGACCGAAGAGCAGGGGTAATATTGTTGAATACACCCCACAGGGCTAGACACAAAGGTTTTCCCAAACGACCGAAGGGAGTGAGGGGTTCGAAAGCTTTTGTGCCCCCACTTTATATGTCACCAACACAAGGTATGTCCGATGGGAGGGGGAGGGCTTACAAGGGCTTGAAGCTTGACTACTTTTCAAAGGCAAAACGAAAATTGTTTGAATGACTAAATGTATGGGATCCTGGATGTAAAAATATAGTGTTATCAAAAAGCCAGTGTATCAATTTGTTCCTTCAGTAAAACCAAAAGATTTTTATACCAAATTGTCATTACATTTTTGACAAAACTGCTGAACACAATCATAAATAACTTTGTGTTTTCATACTTGTTTTAAACCTGATAAATATGTAAGCACTTTTAATAAAACACCATATTTTATTGCTACAAGGATTATTTATATATCCAAAATTTTCTTTTCAAGGCACTCTGGTTTCTCTTCATCCACGCATAAATCTTTCGCCTTTTACTAAAGATTTCCGTGGAGAGGAACATTATAATGAGTCTATAGACTTATTTTTCTAACCCCGAAAGGGGTAACAATTCTCAAAGTAAAAATCCCAATCCCATTCAGTTTTATCAGACAGGAAGTCTTCATTTTCACCTAGAATCTCAGTCAATCGAATAAATAGGATATCAAAGTCCAATATTCCGATTCGGCATTGAGTTAGACCAATGAAAAATGCATGGGAATCAAGATCCATGCGTGTAAAACAGGTTCATAAGACATTTCGAGTCTAATTTTAATGATCGGTCCCCACCGGAAGTTACTTATACGAAGAACGTAATCCGGTCAGTTGTAATTTCTAAAATATATATTTTTTATTTTGTTCAATAAAACTCGAATACTATCGATATTACCTATTATTGGAAGAAAAATGGATAGTCAAAGTATAAGGCCAGAACCAAGTGAGCCAAAGAATGGACTTGACTGCAATAATTCTTTCGAAAATGTAACCTCAGCCCCAGTCAATGCAAAAGAATATGCAGCTGCTGTGAGGACTTGGATTTGGCAATATCACATGTGGAATCAAATGAATATGATGTCTAGTATGATGCCATTTCATGCAATGAGTTGTATGAATGGACAGAATATGAGATTGAACAATCTTCAGCCACCCGCCTCTCCATACATCGCTCACCAGATACCGCAGCAGAATGATGTGAATAGACGACCTGCTGTGCGCCAGCAAACAGACCAAGCTCCACAGCAGTTTGCAAGTAAGTACTCTAATTATATAACTTTATTCAAGGAAGATATGTAACATTCAAAACCATAGACTCTGGATTCGTGTAGCCTTGTTAGCCCGAACTTAGCCGTAACATATACATGTACATGTCTGTTTTAGAATTTTCATATTGTTTCCAAATGTAACATATTTCAGTATAGGATATGCGTGAACAAATATATTGAGTAAAATATAGTCTAGTCATGAATGTGTCCCTAATCTGCGATAAGAATACGTATGAAAAATACACTGGAGTAAACTGACCAACTTTGATATTTTACTGATCTAGGCTGTACCTAAATACACTATTACACTTGCATGTACTTAATTTCGAATACCTGAACAGCGTATGACAAATGATTTTGTTACAGGTATAGACTACAAAATCCCTTCAATATGGAAAAGACTATTTGCAGAATTCATTGACTTTCTGCTCCTTTTCATCGTCAAACTGGGTGCAACAATGATTGCCATTGATAAGTTTGGATACACGTAAGTTTAAAAATGCAAGATTTAAATAAAATGTAAAGTCAGTGTAACTTGTAAGACTCACACCTTTAAAACTGATAATAGCACTAGGAAAATGTTTAGAACATTAATCAGATGGGTAACTGGAATAAGAATGACCCTGAAAAGCTTGTTTTATAGTATAATACACTTCTACTTCCATTTTGTAGCCAAGCCTGTACTATACTGTAGGCTGAGGAGCCCAAAGGATGTGAATAATATTATGTGTTCCCTTAGATAGTGCTACCTCGACAGAATTCTCACCAGATTGCAAATTCTTATGGTTGGAATATGCAGTTTCTCACATTTTCAAGTTGGTGATAATGAGTTCAAAATCTCAAATGGGTGCAGCACCAACTTGTACCATCCATGTACAGTATTGCAGTTTCATGTTTTTCATTATAGGAACCTAGAGAGGTATGATCTAGACTACATGATGCTATTGAGCAGTGAAGAAGTGGACCCAGAGAAGATTCTCAGTCTCATGAATGAACTCATAGCTGTCGAAGTCCTGAATAGAATCTTTGTCATAATTTTTGAAGTAAGCCTAAATAACAACAATGGTTTTTGTATGTTTAATTACTGTATTTTATAATCACACAAGGAAAATGTACATAAATTGGTGAAATTTTAAAAAAGTGTATGTTACAATATGTTATATTAGATAAAAATGATAATAGAAAAATATATATCAGTATATTTCATTAATGAAGTACAGTATGTTGATTTTTAATCATGAATTAAATTAACTTTGTCTTTTTATAAGTGTTGACATTTGGATACTATCCACGATTGTTTACATATAATTTTTATGTCACCACCAAAAAGTGTTGACATATTGTTATGGTCTCTGTTTTTTTGACGGCGGTTGGTGGTTGGCGTCTGTAACAAATTCTTCCAACTTCCAATAACTTAACAAATACCGTTTAGGCTGACTTCAATTTTTTTGAAAATGATACAAGTTTTCAGAAGTTCAAATCTGGCTTTATATTAAAGATTTTACCTTCAATGACCTTTTCAAGGTCAAAAAGGTATTTTTTAACTTGCTTCAATTTGACCAATTTTTTTCAATATCATCTACAAGTTCTCAAAAGTTCAAATCTGACTATAGTTTTGACATTCAATGACATTCTCAAGGTCAAAAAAGATTTGACCTTCCAAAAAAGGTCTTTTTTTCAACTTGCTTCAAATTGACCTATCTTTTTCTTCAAAATCATCTACAAGTTCTCAAAAGTTCAAATCTGACTATAGATTTGACATTCAATGACATTCTCAAGGTCATAAAAGATTTGACCTACAATGACCTTCTCAAGGTCAAAAAGGTCTTTTTTCAACTTGATTCAAATTGACCAATCTTTTTTTCAAAATTATCTACAAGTTATCAGAAGTTCAAATCTGACTTTAGATTTGACCTTCAGTGACCTTCTCATGATCAAAAAAATTTTTTCATCTTGCTTCAAATTGACCAATTTTTTTTCAAAATCATCTACAAGTTCTCAGAAGTTCAAATCTGACTATAGATTTGAGATTTCACCTTCAATGACCTTGTTATGTTCAAAAATTTTTTTAACTTGCTTCAAATTCACCAATTTATTTCTTCAAAGTCATCTACAAGTTCTCAGAAATTCAAATCCGACCTTAGATTGAACTCATTATATTGTGAGCAACTAGGTGGTGACATTTTGTCATGTTAATGCCTTGAATAACTTTTTTGTGTAATAGTATAAACTGAGGGAAGGTTTTGTTTTTCTTCTAGACATTTTGCTTACACAGAGGCATGGTGAATGAAATTGGAGGCCAAACTCCTGGGAAGAGAATCGCAGGAATCCGAGTTGTGTCATGTGACCATGTGTTAGAGCTGCCCAATAGTGTTATAAGAGTTGTCCCAAATGGGAATATAGGCATTTGGAAGTAAGTTTGAAATGAGTAATTGCTAAATTAAGTCAAGTATGTACATATGATACATTTATTAATCCTTTGTAGTCTTGCATCCAGTCTTCAGCCATCTCCTAATACATGTATATGAGTAAATGTATGTAATTTTTTAATGTTATAAAGACTAAAGAGTATGGGACAAAAAAAGTAGATATCGTAGTTGGATTAGTTACAGAGACTGATTACTGTATTTTGGAACACTGTCAGATCTAAACAATTACATTTATTTTAATTTCAGTGCACTGGTCAGAAGTACAATTAAAAACTTTTCGATGGCATTCTTTTTCCCTGTTTGCTTCACATCATTGTTTTTCCAACATAAAAGATCTGCCTATGACCTCCTCTCCAGCAGTATGGTTGTGGAGGATATCCCCATACCAAGAAGAAGAAGATAAACACTCAGTACTGTCAAATTAAAGCAAAACAGTACAACTTATTTACAATCAAAAAATGTAAAAAAATAGTCTTGCGTCAAGTCAAGATGGTTAGTAAGTTACACTCAGAAGGAATTGATGCAGGACTAGTTTTGATGGTACATATGTGTATTTATCTCCAATTCTTGTTGCAAAATTTTATTGTAGTAATTCCACTTGGGAAGTATCTATGATCAGTCAGTGACATAAGCTCTACTATATTTCACATGAGGGAAATCTGGTACACTCCATATTGGTTGAGAATACAATTATTCTGGACTTGAATTTGTCAAGTAGGTTGGTTAGAGCACAGTGAAAATATTTCTCATTATTAGTTGGTGTGATTTACTTACTGAAAACGAATTTTCAATACACATGACTGAAAGACACTCAAGAATTACTTTATAGAAGACATAAATGAGTGATTTGTTGCTGAATGATGATAGAACTCATCCTTGGTCCAAAGGTATTTCAATGCTTTCTATAGCTGCTATAGCATTGAAGCTTCATCTTGAAGGATGGTTTCAAATATTTAGAGAATGATAAAATCAAATATATCTAAACTTTTGATATCACAATGCTTTCATTTAACATTTAATTTATATTCTTTATTATCCCACCAAATGAAGTTTGTGTAGGGATTTATACAGGCCAACTGTCCATGTTTCCAGGCCAAAACTCAAATTCCATCAGATTTACCTACATTTTTCAAGTTGATGCAATATGGAAATTGGAGAATGTCTGCTTATGAAATACTTTTTAAAATGGCTCGTATCTGAAATATCTGACATTATTCTATTCATGTCTGGAAGACCCATTTACAGATTTGGTTTGTTGTACATCCAGAAGGATGTCAAGTGCATTCATTATAAGATGTTACTAAAAATTACTGCTGTTCTGAAGGTTAAGAAAGTTCACTTATAGCCTAGATAGATCATTCTGGTAAGCCACGCCCTATCCATCTCTGCGATGCAACAGAGAGAGATGCTTTGAGTATCAGAATGTAGCTAGATCAAAATGGTCCCATTTCTTTTAAAATTGCTCATAACTTGAATTCCACTAGATAGTTTTAGTGTATTTTTTCATTTTAGCATGAATTAGTCAAAATGGATCTGAGAAACATATTTTGTTTGATGGGATTTGCTGCTCTGTGGAATTGCTGTTTTTATGTCACCACTTGTATATTCTCCAACGTTTTTGTTGACGGTGTTCACAGTTTGCTGTCTGTAACAAATGACAGGTGGTGACCTTTTGTACATCAATAAATGCCTTGTCTAGATTTTATTATCACATGTAAATGTATTGTTAAAAAATTATTGTAAATATCTATTTCATTTCAATATTGATTGTGCAATTATTGTATGTACTGTATAGTACGCATCTGGACATGATTGGAGAAGCAATAGAAATCCTGTATTCTGTAAGTGGTGCCAAAGTAGTCTTGCTTCAACCCCCTGTGACCCTCAACACTCTAAAGTAGACAGAGGGGGAGGAGGAAGAGACTTGATCATTGATGCAAGAGTAGTGTCAAGTAATGTTGAGCTTTTGCTCTTGCTTCAAATGTACATGAATTTGTTCAGCAAGTATTTTGAATCAGAGATTTATGTCCATGAAAACATATGCTTTATTAAGAATATTTACGAGCTGCTTATCAATGTGCTTATGTTACTAGTATTGGCTTGACAAAATTAATTTTGGCAGAGTCAAAATGATTTTATCCTGGAGTTAAACACTCCTGTGAAATGTAAAATACCACAAGGTTTTAAACAATGTACAGAGCACATGTTCTGGTTGTGACTTTGCAAAGTGAAATTCTTTTATAGCATAAACTTAATATAAAGCCTTTAAAGCCACTTTGCATATTTACACTTATCATATTTACCACTTTGAAACTTAGTTATTTATTTTAGTTTCTGTCACTTCATGTAAAGCTGAAAAACATTAAATAAAAATATTTTTGTATTAATAATAAATTCTTTTATTCTGTCCTTTTCGGTTACAGTTCCATTGATGCATTTTCTATAAGAGTTAGGGCTATATAAAATTGTGCAAAGTTGGTATGGTAAAATACACTTGGTTACAGTCTGCACATGTGCAGCTACTACTGCAGGGTATAATGTAAGCATTGGCCTGGGGCCTGGAATCAGTTTTTCATATGCTGATATTTTCTGTATGTACATGTATACTGTATAAGTGGTAATTTTGCCAAATTTTTGCCAGGTTTGGAAAATTAAAGTCGGAAATATTATCTTCATAATGTTATCCAATGGGAAGTTTCTTCTTGTCATTAGGAAAATCAAAATCAGGAAAATGAAAATATTTGACCATTCGGCAAATCAACCACTCAGATTAAATAACACTTATACAGTACAGTATTGTACAATTATCTATATTGTATTTGGTGTATACTACTCTCAGACTGTAGGTATGGAACAAGTAAAAAATCTAATTTTCAGCAATCATTGTGGAATCCTTATCCTTATGACACACCCTCATTGTCATATATTCATATTCTTTACAATGTCAATACTCCTTAGTTCATGTGATGTGAAGCTTTGATGATAACAAAGAACATATCATTTATTATGATTTTTTTGTGGATATTATTTATAAAATCTTGAAATCAATATATATATTTAATAACTATTTTTTATTTTAATAAAAATACATGTACCCTTATGAAATGAATAATGAATTAATATTGAAACCCAAACCCAACTCATACAATATATGTGCAATAGAACGGCAAAACATCTATCAAAACTTCAACATGTTCAGATTTTATCAAAATAAATACATGCTTTCCCTTTCACCATTTCTGGTGGAGAGCAAATAAATGTGTAGCAAGCTGCTTTTAATCCCCAACCCAATTTAAAGGGTCAGCAGCTGTAATCTTCATCCTTAATGACCCTAAAATATTTTCAATTCATAATAATATGTTACTTATACAATCAATTGGAACCAAAACTCCTTTTCTGAAAATCATTATAGAAAAGAATCTTTTTGTCCTAGTTTCTTGATTGTGTAAGTTACATAACATTATGAATTAAAGATATGTATTGGATATCCTATGATTTTGAGAAATATCATTTTATCCACAAGTTGATTATGAATATATGGATGAGTGAATGTAGTGAATGAGTGCAGGTATTGCTATCGATGAGTGGATTAAAATGATATTACAAACATTCATAGGATGTTCTATTGATCCCATAATTCACTAATAAAACTAAACCAAGTGTTTCAAAACAACAGTCATACGATCATTCATCCATTGACGTCATGAAATCACCTCGTAAAAATACACATCACATTGTTGGAAGTTTTCAAATTCGAAAAATGTGATATCTGTGGAATAGTCTCCATACTCCACAGATTCACTCATATAAAAACTAAACCAAACATTTCAAAACAACAGTCATATGATCATTCATTCCCCAATGTCATAAAATCACCTCGCAAAAATACACATCACATTGTTGAAAGTTTTCGAATTCAGAAAAAATGTCGTGATATCTGTGGAATAGTTGCCATATTCCACAGATTCACTCATAAAACTAAACCAAGCATTTCAAAACAACAGTCACACGATTATTCATTCCCCGATGTCATGAAATCACCTCGCAAAAATTCACATCACATTGTTGGAAGTTTTCAAATTCAGAAAAAAATGTTTTTGTAATGCATTTGTAAAATATCACAAATATGATATATATTCATTATCACATGTTATCAATTATGATACAGATTTGACCTCAACTTCGGGAAAATTAAGGTTATTTAGGGTGAGAATTACAGCTACAGTAGTAGCCCTTTATTAAAGAAATATATCAATGGTTATTATTAAATCAGAATGACCACATAATAAAAATTGCTGGACAATCATCAGCAGTTGAAAATTGCTCATACTAGGACACTGAATCCATCTGGCATGACAAATATCAAGCATCATGCAAAATTATAATTTATCTCTTCAGAAAATCAGCTGTTTTTCCTCATTGGTTAGCATTACACACTGGGTTAAATTGCTTCGTTACCAAACATTTTGACAAAAAATGTTCCTTAATGAAGGATTTTTGGGGCTATAAAGGCATAAAATCCTTTGTTATGAAGAGCTTTGACAAACCAATTTAACCATGCTATGTAACACTTACCATTGAAATCATGAGATGTGAATGACATAAGTTTAACACTGACATGTTAATGAACATCATACAGGGAACTGCTACATGAAAGTTTCATTATTTACCATTTGCTATATTAAATTATCCTTCCTTTGACACTGTTTGATACATCACAACAACAAAAATAGTATAGTAACAAATTGAATATAACAAACTGTAAATCAATGCATTTCGGAGTACAATTGTAAAGTATTAACATTATAGTTTATGAAATGTGTGGAAATAGTAATACCCTATGTACAAATAATTTGAATACCCTCACACATCACTGTGTAACAAAAATAAATGGTACATTTTACACAAAAATGGTACCATGGGTGCTTGGCTCACATGGGAAGGTGCTTTTAATAAAAAACAAAAATATATCTCATTTTAAAGTTAAGTTTCACATAACCTTATATACAACATTCTGATACTCAAAGCATCTCTTGGAGAGGGTGTGGCTTACCACGATGATATACAATGTAACATGCTAGAACCTGATTGCTTGAAATATTAGAGACTATATCAGCAGATTGAATTTCTTATGATAACATGTACTCACATTGTAGCTGGATTATATAATACTATTAAATAAATTCAAAATATAAAGTTGAGCACTTCAAGCGTTCCCATATGTACCAGTTAAGTGTAACTTTTGGATTAAAATGAAAAAATTGAACCTCAAGGCTTCGGTGTATTTTTCGCAAAGAACAATGAATAATCTGCTTGAGAGATGTTTAAATAATGAATGTATGTGAGATTAGAAAGACTTCATAGTCTTTCGGTTCTTGGCATTAACTTTACAATTAAAGTATATATATGTACCTATGTATAGTGTGATTAAATTAGTTATAACAAAACATCTACATCTTTCTAGTATTTGACTGAAAACATTGTTACAAGTTTGGTAGTCTTGCATGATTTCTATGCCATCCTTCAGGTTTATAGTTATTCTCTTTACATTCACCTTGCATTTTATAAGAGAAAATTACTAACAGAAAGAACTTTATGCAAGGCCCCTTCACAGTGTTAGCCAGCATACATAACTGTATGTATAAAAAAATTACAAGAACCCAATTCTAGATAAAAACAATTAGGCCTAGATAACTTAGGTAAGACATTACTAAACTTAGTAAGGAATATTTTGGAAAAGCAAGTGCCTTAATGGCCTAAAATTAGCTCAATATCCTAGTAATTATGTTTATTGCAAAGAGGACAACTGAGTGAGAAGTTTGGAACACCATTTCTCTCTGCATTGGATATGATGTTTAGTGATAGTTCAGATATGGACAATTGGAAAATTT